CAGAAAAAGCACCATTTGTTTATGCTGCGTACTAAACTGTGCCCAAAAAAAAATCCCATTTTGATGCTAGATCACAATAATAATCATAATACATATTCTTGGTTCTTTCGGTAAAGTCACCACGTAGAAGGGAAACAATAAAATAATAAAAATATAAAACAATACAATTCTCACGGCGTTTTCACTGCAACACAAGCAATCTTCATCAGAAAATTTTCCTGCTGTGGGTTTCTTGCTGTGGTTTTAATACCTGATGATGATTGCTTGTGTTGCAGTCGAAACGTCGTGATAATTTTATTGTTTTATATTTTTATTATTTTATTGTTTCCCTATCTACGTGACTTTACCGAAAGAACCAAGAATATGAATCCCTGCAGTCACGAAAGCTTTAAATTAAAATCATAATACAATTTAGATTAAAATTTTAAAAGGTGGAACGTAAATGCATGAATTTCGTAAAAATATATATATATTTAAACCCCGTTTTAAATACGTTTGTGTCCGTTTACACTTTGTTGAAAACGTATCTCATGGTGGTTGTCAAGGGAGGCCCAACTCGTTGCTTTGGCCACCAGGGGAGGCCCCACGCTGGTCACGCTCCTGCCAGGCCCTGTCTGTCCCACCTTGCCCCTCCTCTGCGCTCAAGTGTTGCCATCTTGGTCCGCGTGTCGACTCCGAGATTGTGGTCGACTTTATCCATCGTCTGTGAACAAATAGGGAGCTTCGTAGCTCATCGGATTCCTCCAGGATAAATAAAGATTCTGATTCCGACCATCGGCGTCAACCCAAAAATGAGCACCGCATTTTGGGAAGTCGACATTCGTCTTAGGGGCCGTCCATAAATGACGTCACGCGATTTTGGACGAATTTTGACCCCCCCCCCCCTTTTCGGCACACGGCGTCACAAAAAGTAAACTATCATCAAATATGACGTCACAAAGCTCTGTCCCCCCCCCCCCCAAAAAAAAACATGCTTCAAATCGTTTTAAACTATTGTCATTGTAGTGCGTATTTAATGTGGCGCTGCACTCTGATTGTTGTAGGAGAAAACATTTATTAAAAAGTCTATTTAATTAAGTAGAACGTGTTGTGTATATTTATGTCAAGTTGCGCATTTGATGTGACGTCACATTTCTCACCCCCCCCCCCCCCCTTCGTCACACATCGTCACAAATGTCTGACCCACCCCACCCCCCCAGGTGTGTGACGTCATTTATGGACGGCCCCTTAGTTGAACACGTAGTCGCGACAAATATTATCCATGAGAGGAATTTTTGGGTTAGATCGCATAGATTCGTCTTAGTTTCAAGTTTCTTTTGTACCTCCAGTGAGAACTCAAGAGACCATGATATGAGTCTTTTATATATATATAGCTCATTGGGCCTTACCTGGCAACATTTTTTTTAAGTTGAGTTTATTAGCCCGAGTGATCGGAGGCGTTCCTTTCCTGCCAGTAGGGGACGATGACTGCTTCTGTGTATAATCGCAATTGAGAATGTTGGCGTTAATTTCACATTTTGTCAAATGACACAGGCACACGATAGTCTGCGCTTGCGAATGACATCGCAGGATAGTTTACGGTCCACTGTGAAACAGTCGGCGCGTGGGTGTTATCGAGGACATCGCACACTGCAGTATTAATCAGGGCGGCGGCTGGAATCGAGCCGTGAAACCTCGGCAATAAGCCACGAACGTGCTACCGCCAGGCCATTTCGTCACCGCCCTCATATATATGTAAAGACTGGGCCTGACATAGGAATGTGGAATTGCCGTCACGGACTCGGGCATTTGCCCCAGCAGTGTGTTAAAGGCTATACGCTATACGGGGGATCTTTATCTTTGATGATGGTAGTAATTATGAAGATTTTGCTGATGATAATGATCGTGTTGGTGATGGTGGCGATGATGATAATTACGTGTGCTATGAAGAAGACCCATTGCCAGAAACGTCGCATATCTATTTTTATTTTAAGACAACATAGTGTTATTGACGAATATTTTTTTGTTTCTCTTCTGTTAATTTGAGAAATATCAGCGTCCTATAAATTGAAATCTGTATTCTTTTGATGGTGGTGGTCGTGATGGTGGTGGCGATAATGACTTGTGATGGTGTCATAGTGATCGTGATTACGATGATACTGTTGATGATTCTGGTGGTAAAACTATAGTAGTGAAAAGGATGCTCATGTGATGATGATGATGATGATAGTATTGATGATGATAATGGTGGTGTTAACGATGGGGGTTTCATTTTCTCGATTGACATTTTCCGGAACGCCCATGGGGCTGGCTGTGGGTAGGAATTATCGGCGTGAGACACGACCACTCTGAGTATACGTTTATCCACAACAATCCAATGTATTTGGATCCTATATCCATATAATCCTGCTGACATGTTTATTGGAATATAGAGTGCAACGAGGACAATAAGGCAAGCGAGAACAGCGTTCCTAAATTCTGCAATGAAGTGCTGGTCACGATTATGGTAATGATGATTCCGCTGCTGCTGCTGCTGATGATAATGTAGTTGGTGGTGATGATGGTCATGATAATGGTTTGAATCAGAATTTTTATTTAGACTGCAGGAAGAATCCGATGAGCTATGAAGCTCTTTATTCACAGATGTCCAGTATGGGCGGGTCAGCAAAGTATGGCCGGGCCAGCAAGTTTCAGGAAGATGGCCCACAATATTTAAACTGTAACAATTTTTTTTATAATAACCAGGTAAGGCCCACTGAGTTATTTCGATCTTTTTCAGAAGCGACCTGGCCACAATTGATAGCTCAACGAAGTTGCTTATGTGTAAATTGAAAGCAGCCAAATACTCTAAACGCATGTTTCTAAATGTGACGTCACATTTCTTACCCCCCCTCGTCACACATCGTCACAAATGGTCTGACCCCCCCCCCCCTAGGTGCGTGACGTCATTTATGGACGGCCCTTGTTACTTATTCCGATTTTCAAAAAAATCTCAGCAGGTAAGGCCCACTGGGCTTTATAGTTATTATTCAGAAGCGACCTCGCTATCACAAATTATAGCTCAGCAAGGGCCTTATGGCGTAGACATCTATAATAGGCAAATACTTGAAACGCGTGATGTTGATTCAGTTTCAGTTTATTTATTTTGGTATAGCCCTGTGAGCCATTCGGCTCTCGAATCGTGGTGCAACCGCAACAAACAAAAAACTAAAAACATGACAAGAACAACATCTTAAAGTGACTATGTGACTGCGCAAACAGAAAAATCCAGGAAAAAAACAGCAAAAATCTTCCAGAAAAAAGCACCGTACACCAACGCTGTGTGCAAAAATCCCAGTGGGATGCAAGTCAAACAACAACAACAACAACCACGAGACAACTTAGATTAAGGCCGTCAGTCTAACTCCGTACTACAACAAAACAAACATGTCCAAACCAAAAAAAGTTTTCGAAATCACCAAAATAAAAACCATAAAAGCGATGTAACAGTGATCATAGGGGACTGTGACCGGAATTTCACAATAAACGACATAAACAACACGTACCACCAAACCCTGCAGCCATAGCTGGCTGCATGAGTCACTCCAATTCGAAACGCGGAGGGAAAAAAAAACACCTCGGAGAAAAATCCACGCGACCACGGGGACAGAGAACACCAACAAACTTCAAACGCGCATGCGTCAAGGTAGTCGAGATCGAACCCGCGACCTCTATGTATACCAGGTGAGACAATTAACATCTTGCCACCGCGGTGCCCAAAGCAAAGCACTGTCAGCGAGCGTGGGGGCCATCAACGGCATCTCCGCAAGTCGCCGCCGGGACGGGAGCTGCCGGCATTCTTACTCATCGTGATTTAGTGACGCCCCAAACGCGCGGACGATGGACCGATCAATCACCCATCATCAGGTGTGATTCCTTGTGTTGCATTCGAAACGTCGTGAGAATTTCGTTGTTTTGTATTTTTATTATTTTATTGTTTCCCTTCTACGTGACCTGACCGAAAGAACCAAGAATATGAATCCCTGCAGTCACAAAAGCTTTAAATCAAAATTTAATTGAAGAATGTTCAAAGATCACACCCGTAGTCTTAAAAAAAGTCCTACATTCATTTAAAAAAAAGAATTAATGCGTGCATTAATGTTAATGGAAGTCAGTTTGAACATGTTAAAATAAATATAACCATGTGTCCTGAATTTTGGGCCACCCTATATCATGGCTAGATAATCGTGGTTTCTTCATGATAATCAGACTTCCCCTATAAATATGATCATTATGAGACCTCCTTTGCCAGAAACAAAATATAAGAATAGGTTTTACCCTTTTAACTGGCACAAAAACTGACACCTTTATTCAAGGCATCATGTTTGCAATAACCACAACACAAGCAGTCAAAATGCAAACAAAAAAGACAACTGATAATAATATGCACTGTCCTTGAATTTGATTGGTCCACACCTGAGACAGCCTTTCTTAGAGCCTCGTCTCCATTGGTGTTGGACCAGAAGACGCCAAAAGGCGTACAACTCAAAAACAGCGCACTATCAGAGTATTGAGGGCTCGGGGTGAGCATTAACATTATGAGACCTCCTTTGCCAGAAACAAGATATAAGAATAAGCTCTAAGAAAAGCTGTCTCGGGTGTGGACCAATCAAATTCAAGGACAGTGCATATTATTATCAGAGTTGTCTTTTTTGTTTGCATTTTGACTGCTTGTGTTGTGGTTTTTGCAAACATGATGCCTTGAATAAAGGTGTCAGTTTTTGTGCCAGTTAAAAGGGTTAAACCTATTCCTATATCTTGTTACTGGCAAAGGAGGTCTCATAATGTACATGCTCACCCCGAGCCCTCAATACTCTGATAGTGCGCTGTTTTTGAGTTGTACGCCTTTTGGCGTCTTCTGGTCCAACACCAATGGAGACTAGGCTCTAAGTAAAAGCTGTCTCGGGTGTGGACCAATCAAATTAAAGGACAGTGCATATTATTATCAGAGTTGTCTTTTTGTTTGCATTTTGACTGCTTGTGTTGTGGTTATTGCAAACATGATGCCTTGAATAAAGGTGTCAGTTTTTGTGCCAGTTAAAAGGGTAAAACCTATTCTTAAATATGATCATATCAATGAGCTCCTACGTTGTTAAATAAAGGAGATGCATAGAATCATATATATACTGTACGTTTATTAATTACAGTTGATTAGGTTACATTCACATGCACAATAGCAAGACTCTCTCCTCTAAAGTACATCTATTCATGACAATCTATAACCAGGATTTACATTTGTATAATGAGAATCCATTTCAATGAGGTTCCACTCACTTGAATAATCTTAAACTCTACCCACTTCCAATGAACTGGATAAACTGCCCGTAACCCATATCCATTCGAATCCATATGCAATCTTTCAAACCCTGATCCACTCTATTCCCGCCCTGTACCCAACCAAATTTACTCCGTCTGATCTTGGGATTTGCAGAGGACCTCCACAAAGATCTGGCCTACAGGGAGCATGTTTGAAATTAAATGAACTGGTAATGTCACGAGGTCAGAATTAAAATCCTGAGATCCAGCATCATGACAGCAAGTTTTAGGATTCGTGTCATAGGACCTTGAGCTGGGCAACTAATTCCGCATTTTCATGAGCCACATAACTCGTTTTGTGTTACCAATTTGAGTTTAACTGGAGTTCAGGTGAACTCACATTCCCTCGAGTTAGATGTCAATGGTAACTCGGTATGAGTTTCAGAATCAGTATCTCAGAAACTTTGCTCCAGGACTATGGGGCATCGGGTGTAGCATATTTAACCTTTGCTCAAAGATAGTTATCAGGACTGACGTACTGATTGAGACAGTGCTCCAGGAGACTGTGTTTCAGATGTATTTCTCAAGATATGACTCCAGAAGACTAGGGTTCAGTATGTCTCAACTTGGCTCTGAAAGACCATGCTTCAAAATCACTGTCTACTGCAGTTCCGATGAGCATGGTTGGCTACATACGGTGCAAAAGAAGTACAACATATATACATACATACTGCAATAACATTCGAGGAGACTATAATTGAGCATGAGTGTATCAATACCCAGCGCTAGACGTCTAGGTTTAAGGATCACTGTCTTAATTCGAACTCAATTCCAAAAACCTCAGTCTCAGGATCAGTATCATAAGCTTTGCATCCAGAAGACCATGTTTCACGGTCAGCGTCTTGCTTGAGCCTCAACACTCAATAGATAATGGAAGGCGAATTATCATGAGAAAGTGTTGTGACCGATGTCTCAGCCAAGCAGGGGTTTCGGGCGAGTACACATGTATGCATGTGTATGTTCAACTTCTTTCGCACCGTACATAGCCAACCGTGTTAAGTGAGGGTGTGGGTTTTAAGCAGAGGTGTGGGTGCTAATTGGAATTTTGGGTGCTAATCGGAAGTGGAGGTGAAAATTGAAGGTGCGGGTGCTAATTGGAGGTGTGGGTGCTAATTGGAGGTGTGGGTGCTAATTGGAGGTGTGGGTGCTAATAGGAGGTGCGGGTGCTAATAGGAGGTGCTGGTGGTAATTGGAGGTGCGTCGTGGAGAGAGGGATCACAGGATGGAGTCGTCAGAGGAGGGGTAGCTGCTGGGGATGCCGTTCACCCTCGCCACCGCCTGTGAGGGCGACGGTGAAAACTCCATGCTGGCCTTGCACTGCTGGGAGGAGGTGACCTGAACACAAGACACACGTGACGACACAGCTCCCTGAAAGGTTCTTTCCTTCGGCGTCGTACCGCGCGTCGTTCAGCAAATTGTTCGCGCTGAAGAACCACAACAAACGCACGTCAGCGAGCTATTCGGTTCGACGGTGAAAGTCTACGTTGTGCAGTAGTTAGTTGAGTGCAACTATCATTATTAGATGTCCATTATTTATTGAAATCCAGGTACGAGTGCCAATACGTTCATTTCAAGAGGATCTTTCTTGCATTATGGTGTTTGACCAGCTGCTTCCTTTACGAGCGAACATTCTTGCACGCGGGAGGAAAACTGGAGCAGCCGAAGAAGGAAAACCACGCACGAGGGGAAAACGCTCCGAGAGCCACGTGGATGGGTCGATGAACCCCGTTTTGTTGGACTACCGACTCCTCTAGAGAGAGACCTCGCAGCCGAACGGGTTGGGATACTTTTTAGCAGCTGATGGAATATCGTATGCATCCGAAGCTCAGGACTACAGGTGTGTTCCACCATACAAGGTAAATTATGAATTCACATGAAAAGTCCGATATGCCACGAGTGGCAAGAGACTGGACACCCGTGTTATAATGCAGAATGTCTGTCTGTCTCCATGTCACTGTGTGTCTCTGTGTCTGTCTCTGTGTGTCTGTGTCTGTCTGTTATAATGCAAAATGCCTGTGTCTGTCTCCATGTCACTGTGTGTCTCTGTGTCTGACTCTGTGTGTCTGTGTCTGTCTGTTATAATGCAGAATGTCTGTCTGTCTCCATGTCACTGTGTGTCTCTGTGTCTGTCTCTGTGTGTCTGTGTCTGTCTGTGTCTGTCTGTTATAATGCAAAATGCCTGTGTATGTCTCCATGTCACTGTGTGTCTCTGTGTCTGTCTCTGTGTGTGTGCATGTGTCTCTGTGTCTATCTCCGTGTCTGTCTCCATGTCTCTGTGTGTCTCTGTGTCTGTGTGTGTGCGGTAGTGTAGCAGTTAGCGTGCTGCGCTATGAACCTGGCGACCCGGGTTCGATTCCCGCTCACTGCCAACACCAGTGACGATTATCTGAACCGGTCCCGGGCCTCCCCTAGGTCGACTCAGCCTCAAATGAGTACCTGGTGCGGTGTGTAAACATTGCCACTAGGGAGACAAAGGTGGTCGGGCGTGGTGCTGGCCACCCACCCCCTCGTGGCCTTCATAGGTGCTCGCTAACAGCAATTGCTCCTACAGTCTGTTAAGGCTATATGGGGGATCTTTGTTGAGTGTGCATGTGTCTCTGTGAATGTCTCCATGTAGGTGTGTGCTTCTCTCTGTGTCTGTGTCTCTGTGTGTGTCTCCGTGTCTCCGTGTCTGTGTGAGTATATTCGTGTCTATGTGTGTGTGTCTCCGTTTATCTGTGTGTGTCTGTGGTCTCATTCGCACGAGTGACCTGGGGCATTAGTCTGCTGCCAACAGGACGTGAAGATGCACACTGCTGTGTATAATTTACGAATTTGTCAAATTTGAACCCTGACGCTTTCCCATGCTGATGACACGTGTACGTTATCAGTCTTTCCTCCGATTCCGGAGGAAAGACTGATAACGAATGGAATCGTAAGTAAAAGGCCATGCGGGAGGTCGTGCGGCAACAGTGTGGCGCCAGCTATCGTAGAGTGCGGTCGTGTCGCTACAGTTCTCCGAGCGGTGAGTACAGTGCCTTTGAAAACAACGGCTCTATGCCCCTAGAAATAAAATTAACGCTTGCGCGTTCTGAGACTCCTATGTCTCGGATCGGGAAAAGGTGAACTCGGCATATTCTAGCTCTGAGGATTAAACGCGTCATTTTGCCACGTGACAAACACACGGCATGCGACTCGAGATGTCGTTCCACGATATCGCCATCCCACATGGCCACCAACACACGAGGTAATGCAATGCTCACTGTAAGCGATTGAATGGAATTGTCCTCATCTCGTGAGTCATAATGATGCAGAAGCACCGGAAGAGACCTGGCTGGAAGGGATTGGCTGCACACGCACCTCCTCGAACTTGCTCTGCCGGTAGACGGAGCGCTGACGCATGATGTTCAGAAGCACCCAGTCACAGATGATGGATGCCTGAAAAAGACAAAGATCCCCGTACAGCCTTAACAGGCTGTAGAGGTGGCATGGTACGCGAGGGGGTGGGTGGCCAGCACCATGTCCGACCACCTTTGTTTTCCCCAGTGGCGATGTTTACTGCACATCGCACCGGGTACTCATTTGATGCTGAGTCGACTTAAAGGAGGCCCAGGACCGGTTCAAATAATCGTCACTGGCGTTGGCCGTGACCGAGAATTAATCTCGCGTCGCCGAGTTCGAGGCAAAGCGCGCTAAGTGCAGTACTGCGTATCACTCTTTGGTTCTTTCGGTAAGGTCGCGTAGGTATAAAATGAGATAAATAAAATCGCGACGTTTCGGGCGCAGCACACAAGCGTCCGTCATCAGGTGGGACAACCACAGCAAGAAACGTCGTGATTACATTTATTTTATTTCATACCTACGTGACTTTACCAAAAGAACCAATACTACGTGTGTATATATATAGAACATCTTTTTGACCGTACGCAGTCGACAGTGGTAATGGGAAATACACTACCGCTCCACACACGTGTACAGGGTGGCCCGGAACGCGGGACACTTAGGGTCATTTCATTTATTCTAACCCTAGCATGAAAACATTTAATTGTTTATTCGGTTCCGCCTGATGGCGGTTGCCTGTGTTGCGATCGAAACGTGGTGATTTATTTTTGTTATTTTATTTTATTTCTACCTACCACGTAACTTTACCGAAAGAACCACAGAGTATGGACTCCTGCAGTAACGAAAGCTTCAAATCAAGATTAATATTTCATTTATTATCATTATTAAATTATATTTTCCTTCTTTTTCCTGTGGGGTCACCTCAAATCTGTCGTTTACAAAACTCGACCAAGAACCCTGAATGGATTGAGACGAAACATAATTTATGAACATTAAAAGTTTACACCTGTAATCTTGAAAAAAAAATCCTACATTTATTTCAAAAGAGAATGCATACATAAATATTAATGGGAGTCAGTTTGAACATTTGTTATCAGAAATTTGAATCATCCGATGTGATTTATGAGAATAAATGGATTGATTACCGTAGTATAACGTAGTCGAGCATGTTCTATTGATTCAAAATAGATTTTGGGTGAGGCTTGCGTAAATACTAATAACAGAATATTGTATTGTATATGAGTATTGTGTTATTGTGCAGTGTAGTTCAGTATTGTGATTCATCGCATTGTATCATCGTGACCTGCTTTACATACCAGCGCATTGGATTTCCTTATTTTGACATTCCCTGTAAACGTAGTGGAGTGCGTTAAGAGGCAATGTAATGCGTCGCAATGTATTAAAGCGAATTCTATGTTGGCACAATACTCTGCAACTGCATTGTAATGCGTTGCGTGTCGTTGCAGTGCATCATAGTGCATTGTGGGCGGCCCTGCTTACTACTCCCACTGAAGTGAGAGCTGCCACGAGGTTGATGATGGTTGGGATGAGGTCAAACCTCCCGGCCTGCACACATGCACACACGCACGGTGCATAAACCATCAAGCTGCAACGTGTACAAAACATAGTTGGCACGTGTCGTGAATGGCACTGCAAGATCCGACCGTGTCCGCCCAGTGCGCGCTGAGCTGCATTGGCTCCCGGTCAGGGGCGGAGCCATGATTTTGACTTTGGGGGGGGCTCACTTCAATATTCTGAGATATCTCAGTGTGTTTATGTTTTCCAATGGGAGCCACAAATTTATACAACAAATTTTTATTGGATTTGAACGCGGAGTTTATTAATAGGTCGGAGCCGCTGATGTGGCTAATAAGTTCGATAAGTTCGAAAGGCTGCCGCTTAAGCAGCCTGCAGGGCAGCACACAAGGTGGCAGCCTGCAGGGCAGCACAAGGTGGCAGCCTGCAGGGCAGCGCACAAGGTGGCAGCCTGCAGGGCAGCACACAAGGTGGCAGCCTGCAGGGCAGCACGAGGTGGCAGCCTGCAGGGCAGCACAAGGTGCCAGCCTGCAGGGCAGCACACAAGGTGGCAGCCTACAGGGCAGCACGAGGTGGCAGCCTGCAGGGCAGCACAAGGTGGCAGCCTGCAGGGCGGCACACAAGGTGGCAGCCAGCAGCATTTTTCAGCAGCCGGATATCCGGTTATCCCCAGCCACCGCCCTGTGGCTCTGCCCCTGCTTCCGGTTGCCTAACGAACACATTACAAGGTCGCTCTCATGGCACGCAAAGTGCTTGCCACAAATGATCCACAATAGCTTGCTGATCTCGTCCAGGAGCATAAGCCATCGGCACGCAAACTCCGGCCATTCCCCGCTGTGGCTTTTGGCCAGCCATTGAAACAAAGAGGGTCACCGCAACACGGGGGCTTTCAGATGGGCTTCTGCGGCCGTCTGGAATGCTCTTTTGCATTCTGATGTTAGGAAGCCACTGAAGCGATGCACTTTTACATCTAGATTGAAAGACTAATTTCCTTAGAACTGCTTTCTGTGTTTAGTTTGTTTGTCCCCCCCCCCACCTCACCTACGGATTATCACGGTTGGCTATGTACCGTGCGAAAGAAGTTCAACATACATGCATGCAGAACTCGCTATCCTTACCACCACCAATTACTACCTCAACAACCTGTAACATTTTATAATCATAATCATATAATACAATAATATTTGTTTAGCCTTTGTCAATGGACTGCTGGATCAAGACGTCTTCCTTCACCACGCTGCTCAGTGCAGGTTGAGGCTGGGGTGTGGGGGTGGAGGGCAGCCCTTTAGATATAAGTTGCCGTGGTCGGGGAGAGAACTGAGTGTCGCCGGCTTCACAATGCAGCACGGTGAACCACTGCAGCCGCAGCACATTGCGTGCAACAGTTGAACGTTTATGCAATCACAGGTGAGCAGACTGACCGTGCAACACGAGGACCGTGCGATAATCACGGGAGACTAAAACCCCGGAATACAATCCACGACCTAAGAGGTGCTGTGACATTGGTAATTATGAGCCGATGAGAGGCACCAAGATAGAGAGGGCTTTAAACCAGGACCTGTATTCATGGCCATTGTGGACTCCCTAACAAGAGAGACACCCCATCCGTTGGACCGAGTTCGGGACCTCAGAAATGCAGTTTCATGCTGTGACGTTGACATTATGAACCTCCTCAGAGAGTCCTCCAGCCCCAGTGCTTGGACAGTGGTTATAGTGCTCAAATAAATGGCGATTGTGATCTTCCCGAGAGATAACCCTGCCCTTAGAATCGACATCTAGACCTTACGGGTGCTTGCTTATTGCTCTGACATGGCATTTATTAACCTTCTGAAAATCCAGGGCTCAAACTCTGATCCTTTAAGGCGCTGGCTAAGAGCTGTGACGTGCTATTATGCGTTCTCTTAAAAGAGGGAGACACACTTCGACCCATGACTCAAATCCAGGTCCATGTAGTTTCTGGCTTAGAGTTCCGACAATATCATTAAAAGGCTTAATGTTTCTTACCCACGCAAACAAAAACAATCAATCTTTGAATCAATACAAAGTAATTATTGCCCCCTACTGTGAAAACTTAGCAGGACCTTGCTGAAATGGAGTCATTAGACTAAATTAAGCTTTCCTGGGTAAACAAGTGTAATAAAGCATAATAATTGTTTTGTCGGTGAGGTTAGGGTTTGAACCCCAGTGCAAGTGATGATGAGGTCAGGGTTTGAACCCAGGCAGTGTGAGCTCTGATGAGATCAGGGTTTGAACCCAGGCAGTATGAGCTCCGATGAGGTTAGGGTTTGAACCCAGGCAGTGTGAGCTCCGATGAGGTCAGGGTTTTAACCCAGGCAGTGTGAGTTGTGATGAGGTCAGGGTTTGAACCCAGGCAGTATGAGTTGTGATGAGGTCAGGGTTTGAACCCAGACAGTGTGAGCTCCGATGAGGTCAGAGTTTGAACCCAGGCAGTGTGAGTTGTGATGAGGTCAGGGTTTGAACCCAGGCAGTGTGAGTTGTGATGAGGTCAGGGTTTGAACCCAGGCAGTGTGAGCTCTGATGAGGTCAGGGTTTGACCCCAGGCAGTGTGAGTTGTGATGAGGTCAGGGTGTTGCGACGAAGTGGCCTTACCTGGCCAGACACGAGGATGTCGATACGCACTCCGTACGCCTTGATGAGCGTGCGGTGCTCCGTGCCGTTGGGGAAGACGTAGTGCTTAGCGAACCTGGCGCGGAACGAGAGAGGGCAGCCCAAGCGTGGTTGCATCCCAATGGGCTTTTTGCACACAGCGTTGGTGTACGGTGCTTTTTCTGGAAGATTTTTGCAGTTTTTATCCTGGATTTTTCTGTTTGCGCGTAGTCACTTTAAGATGTTTTTCTTGTTCACGTTTTTGTTTTTTGTTTGGTGCGGTTGCACCCGATTCAAGAGCCAAATGGCTCACAGGGCTCTACCAAATAAATGAAACTGAAACTGTGTGCGTGTTTGTGCGTATTATTAACAGACTATACGGGGGAACTTTCTCTTTGTTTGTGCCTGTTACGACTGTTGGGGAAAGTGCTGTTAGCGAGCACCAATGAAGGCCGGCACGGCACAAGTGGGGGTGGGTGGAGGCACCACGCCCGGCCGCCGTTGTCTCTCTGCTGGCGACATTTACACACCGCACCAGGTACTCAATTGCGGCTGAGTCGACCTAGGGGAGGCACAGCACTTGTTCCAACAATCGTTACTGGTGGTGGCCGTAAGCGGGAATCGAACTCGTGTCGTCGGGTTCGTATAGCGCAGCGCGCTGACCGCTACACTGCCGCTGACATCAAACACACAGACGCACGTGCATATGCGGCACGAGCATTTACAAGACAAAGATCCCCCGTATAGCCTCAACAGACTGTAGGGGCAAGTGCTGTTAGCGAGTAGGCCCGGCACGGCACACGAGGGGGTGGGTGGCCAGCACTACGTTGGTGTGGGGTGTAGCGGTGAGCACGCTGCGCTACGAACCCGGCGACCAGAGTTTGATTCCGGCTCACGGCCAACACCGGTGACGATTATGGGAACCAGTCCTGGGCCTCCCCTAGGTCGACTCAGCCTCAATTGAGCACCTGGCGCGGTGTGTAAACGTCGCCACCGGGAATACAAAGGCGGCCGGGCGTGGTGCTGGCTACCCACATCCTCGTGTGCCGTGTCGGACTTCATAGGTGCTCGCTAACAGCACTTGCCCCTACAGTCTGTTAAGGCTATAGAGGAGATCTTTGTCTTTGTTTGTGCCTGTTATGGGGAGACAAAGGCGGTTGGGCCTGATGCTGGCCATCCACCCCCTCGTGTGCCGTGCCGGCCTTCATCGGTGCGACTCGCTAACAGCACTTGCCGCAAAAGTCCGTTGAGGCTATACGGGGGGTCTTTGTTTTTGCGTGTGCCCGTTACGAGGAGCGACGCTCACAACAACGACGACGACGAGCAGAGTGCCCGGCGGCTAAAACGAAAGCGGGCGAGCACGGGGTGTTTGCATCTGCCCCAAGTCATCTCAGGTCAGTCAAAAATAGCACGTGGCGGCACCCGGCGTCCGTCCCGCCAACCCCTTGCCACGCGAGCCTTCGACCTCACCGGCCGCCGCGACCTCGACCGCCGCCGTGACCTCACCAGCCACCATGACCTCATCAGCCACCATGACCTCACCAGCCGCCGTGACCTCACCCGCCGCCGTGGCCTCACCAGCCGCCGTGACCTCGCCCGTTGCCGTGACCTCACCCACCGCCGTGACCTCCCCCGCCGCCGTGACCTCGCCCGCCGCCGTGACCTCACCCGCTACCGTGACCTCCCCCGTCGCCGTGACCTCACTCGCCACCGTGACCCCACCAGCCGCCGCGACCTCACCCGCCACGCCACTTGAAGGGCGGATGGGGGGCTTGTTTTGTTTGTGCCGCCCTTTCGCCGTTGCATGCGCGGGTGTCCGCGAACCGCGAGGATTCCGTGTCCCCGCAGGTGTTTGGCTGATGTTGGTGTTGGTGTGACGCCACGGTGTTGATGATGTTGGTGTTGGTGTGACGCCACGGTGTTGATGATGTTGGTACTGACGTGGGTGTTGGTGTGACGCCGCGGTGTTGATGATGTTGGTACTGATGCTGGTGTTGGTGTGACGCCACGGTGTTGATGATGTTGGTACTGACGTGGGTGTTGGTGTGACGCCACGGTGTTGATGATGTTGGTACTGATGCTGGTGTTGGTGTGACGCCACGGTGTTGATGATGTTGGTACTGGTGTTGGTGTTGGTGTGACGCCACGGTGTTGATGTTGTTGGTACTGGTGTTGGTGTTGGTGTGACGCCACGGTGTTGATGATGTTGGTACTGATGCTGGTGTTGGTGTGACGCCACGGTGTTGATGATGTTGGTACTGATGCTGGTGTTGGTGTGACGCCACGGTGTTGATGATGTTGGTGTTGGTGTGACGCCACGGTGTTGATGATTGTTGGTACTGATGTTGGTGTTGGTGTGACGCCACGGTGTTGGTGATGTTGGTACTGATGTTGGTGTTGGTGTGACGCCACGGTGTTGGTGATGTTGGTACTGATGTTGGTGTGACGCCACGGTGTTGGTGATGTTGGTACTGATGTTGGTGTTGGTGTGACGCCACGGTGTTGGTGATGTTGGTACTGATGTTGGTGTTGGTGTGACGCCACGGTGTTGATGATTGTTGGTACTGATGCTGGTGTTGGTGTGACGCCACGGTGTTGATGATGTTGGTACTGATGTTGGTGTTGGTGTGACGCCACGGTGTTGATGATGTTGGTACTGACGTGGGTGTTGGTGTGACGCCACGGTGTTGATGATGTTGGTACTGGTGCTGGTGTGACGCCACGGTGTTGATGATGTTGGTACTGACGTGGGTGTTGGTGTGACGCCACGGTGTTGATGATGTTGGTACTGCTGTTGGTGTTGGTGTCAGCGGCGTTCCCGTTGGCATCCCCGCGTTGGCTTTGTCGTTCACGTTGCAAGTTGACAAACCGCCACTGTGTTGATGATGTTGGTGTTGGTATTGGTGTTGATGTTGGTGTTGATGTTGGTGTTGATGTTGGTGTTGATGTTGGTACTGATGTTGGTGTTGATGTTGGTACTGATGTTGGTGTTGATGATGTTGGTGTTGATGTTGGTGTTGGTGTTGATGTTGGTGTTGTACTGATGTTGGTACTGATGTTGATGTTGGTACTGATGTTGATGTTGGTACTGATGTTGGTGTTGATGTTGGTACTGATGTTGGTGTTGATGTTGGTACTGATGTTGGTGTTGATGTTGGTGTTGGTGTTGATGTTGGTGTTGATGTTGATGTTGGTACTGATCTTGGTGTTGATGTTGGTGTTGATGTTGGTACTGATGTTGGTGTTGATATTGGTGTTGATGTTGGTACTGATGTTGGTGTTGATGTTGGTACTGATGTTGGTGTTGATGTTCGTGTTGATGTTGGTACTGATGTTGGTACTGATGTTGGTGTTGATGTTGGTGTTGATGTTGGTACTGATGTTGGTGTTGATGTTGGTACTGATGTTGGTGTTGATGTTGGTGTTGATGTTGGTACTGATGTTGGTGTTGATGTTGGTATGGATATTGGTGCTGATGTTGGTGTTGATGTTGGTGCTGATGTTGGTGTTGATGTTGGTGTTGATGTTGATGTTGGTGTTGATGTTGATGTTGGTGTTGATTTTGGTGTTGATGTTGGTGCTGATGTTGGTGTTGATGCTGATGTTGGTACTGATGTTGGTGTTGATGTTGGTTGTCGGGGGTTTGACCTCACCGGAAGTTGTACCCTGAGCCCACGGGGTTCTCCTTGGACACCGTGTCGAGGCGTCGGAACGAGTAGAGCGGCTCGCAGAGCGAGGTGTTGAAGTCGAGGTCGCACCTCCAATCGATGAGGACGCCCAGCACTCCACCCTGCACAACGGGGCACAAAGATCCCCCCGTGTAGTCGAAACAGAACGTTGGGGCAAGTGTTGTTGGAGAGCACCGGCACGGCACACGAGGAGGTGGGTGGCCAGCACCATGCACGGCCACCTTCGGTGCCGTCCATAAATGACGTCACGCGATTTTTGACCCCCCCCCCCCAGTCAAACGGCGTCACATCAAATATGACGTCACAAAGCTCTGCCCCCCCCCCCCAGAAAAAATATATATATACTGTAAAACATGCTTCAAATCGCTTTAAACTATTGTCATTGTAGTGCGTATTTAATGTGGCACTGCACTCTGATGTTGTAGGAGAAAACATTTATTAAAAAGTCTATTTAGTTAAGCAGAACGTGTTGTCTATATTTATTTTAAGTTGCGCATTTTGATGTGACGTCACATTTCTCACCCCCCCCCCCACACACATCGTCACAAATGTCTGACCCCCCCCCCCCCCCCCCCAGGTGCGTGACGTCATTTATGGACGGCCACTTTGTCTTCCAGTGACGATGTTTACACATCACACCAGGTACTCATCTGAGGCTGAGTCGACCTAGTGGAGGCCCAGGACCCGGTTCAGATCATCGTCAATGGTGCTGGCCGTGAGCGGGAATCGAACTCGGGTTTCCGGGTTTGTACTGCAGTGCGCTAATAACCACTGCACGACCCCCTCACCCACACCACAGCACACAACCCACGTGTATGCCGTACGCATCAACACAGCAGTACAATCATTGGACCTCCTTTGCCAGTACCAAAATATAATAATAGGGTTTCCCCCCTTTTTTTGTCTTTGAGCTGTTACGCCTTTTGGCGTCCACTGGTCGAGCACCAATTGGGTCGAGGCTCAAAAGAAAGCCGTCTCTGGTGTGGACCAATCAGTTTCAAGGACAATGCAAATATTATCAGAGTGTGTTATTTGTTTGCATTTTGACTGCAGGTATTGTGGCTAATGCAGACATGATTCCTCGTAAAAAGGTTTCAGTTTTGTTGCCAGAAAAAAAGAGGGAAACCCTATTATTACAGCAGTACAACTCCCACCTCCATGCCGGTGTCAGACTGCAACACTGAGGTGAGCAGTGCCATGGGGGGGGGGAGCCTGAGGCCTGATGATAATCAGCTGTTACCCTCAAAGCACACCTCTTAAACTCTTGACAATCACACCGATGAAGGTCCATGCCACAAAGCGGAGTTACCATTGATACTGGACTCTCGTCCTCTCGCAAAGTAAACCTCAACGCTGCAGGAACCTCTTCGTTGTCTCCCGCCCCCCCCCCCAGCACCTCCAATTAGTTGGCTACGTACGGCGCGAAGGAAGTTCATTATACATACCCGCAACATCTTCCCGACATGGCCTTTTGCTGCCTGCCGAGACCCCTCACCCATGCCTTCGTCACTTTTCCCAACTCAGCAACGGCAACTTTCTCGCATGTTGTGTTCAGCCCTGGTGCTCTGGCTGCCATTGGTGGTGTGTTTGAAATTGGTGGTGTGTTTGAAATTGGTGGGGTGTTTGAAATTGGTGGTGTGTTTGAAATTTGTGGTGTGTTTGAAATTGGTGGTGTGTTTGAAATTGGTGGGGTGTTTGAAATTGCTGGTGTGTTTGAAATTGGTGGGGTGTTTGAAATTGGGGGTGTGTTTGAAATTGGTGGGGTGTTTGAAATTGGTGGGGTGTTTGAAATTGGTGGTGTGTTTGAAATTGGTGGGGTGTTTGAAATTGGTTGGGTGTTTGAAATTGGTGGGGTGTTTGAAATTGGTGGTGTGTTTGAAATTGGTGGGGTGTTTGAAATTGGTGGGGTGTTTGAAATTGGTGGTGTGTTTGAAATTGGTGGGGTGTTTGAAATTGGTGGTGTGTTTGAAATTGGTGGTGTGTTTGAAACTGGTGGGGTGTTTGAAATTTGTGGTGGTGTTTGGTTCTGGTGGTGCGGCTGCCACTGGTATTGTGTTTACTTCTGGCGGTGTCTCTGACACCTGCCCTCGTGATAAGGTGGGCTTCCTCACATTGATCCCGATGCTTTTGAAGTCTTGCCCAGCACTCCTTAGGATGTCGCGCAGGGAAAAGATGGGGCACAGGTTGTTGTGCTTTGGGTGATGGTGGCACGACTTTAGGAAATTCTTGTCCATGTTCTCCGGCAGGTTCCCCCTGTAAGCACATCCACACAATCAACCACACAGTCACCAATCACAGACACACTCAACCAAGCGACCACACAGACACACAGCCAACTGCACAGTCAAACATGCAACCACAAGCACCGCCAATTGCACACTCAACCAACCACGTAACCACACACCAAATCAACTTCATGATCAGCCATAGCTTTTATAAGCACCCACACAACCACACATCTGCTCAAGAATCCACTCAGTGAACCACAAAAACCACGACAAAATTGACGTTGAAAAAAATCAACTTTGACAACAACACATTTTCAGTGTGTGTGTGTGAGGGGTCTTCCCTCCCTGCCTGATCGCTCGTTTGCTCACTTTGAGACGTTGAACTTGGGGAAGCGGATGTTGTTCTTGATGAGAATGGTGAAGTTTTCTGCCGAACGCAGCAGACGCTTCCTGTAAAGAATCCAAGAATGGCCACACAATGCATCAGTGAAATAACGCGTATGCATGTGTCTGGACAAAGTTTCATCCGTGAGGTCCTCCGGCAGGCAAGACTACATTGGGTGGGTCATTTAGTCTGCCAGATAGAGGGGGCTAAACGGGCGTGGCACGGGCTGGAGAGGAGATGGAGTGATGTGGTAGAAGAGGACGTGGAGCTGAGTGGACTTGCCAATGACTGGTACCAGTGGTATCAAGATCGGCCTCTGTGGAGGAGGCTCGTGAAGGACGCTACTGGGCAGTTGGAGGCAGTCGCCCTCCAACAACAACGGAGGGCGGAGGAGCGACGCTCACAACAACGAGCGGAGCGCCGAGCGACTAAAAAACAGCAAGTTGTCAGAATAGGGGGTACAGCTGGTGCATCTACCAATCATCTCAGTCAGCCGACCCATGGCACCTGGGCCTGTCCCGAGACCTATCAGCGGGCCTTTGACCCTTCACATGGCCTCAAAATGCACCTGGCCTGGCAAAAGCGCCATGACAAATAGCAGGTATTGGCTTTCATGGCTAAAATGGATTTGCTATTATTATTGTGTGTATATATACGTATGGGTGTGTGGGGAGCAGTAGTGCACTGTGCGACGAACCCGACGAACCCGAGTTCAATTCCCACTGACGACCGATAACAGTAAGCGTATATTTGAACCAGTCTTGGGCGTCCGCCAAAGGTTGACTCAGCCTTAAAAAATATATATATTACCTGGTTCGGTGTGTAAACATTAGCATTGGGGAGACAAAGGCGGTCGGGCGAGGTGTTGGTCACACACCTTTGCCGGCCTTCATATGATGTACTCACTAACAGCACCTGCCCCAACAGTCTCCTAAAGGCTCGTCTTTGGTTTGCGCGTGCGTGCAAGCTGCGTGCGACAGTGAAGCTCTCAATGTCACCCCGTGTTCTTTCCCTCCACCTCCACCGGGCACCAGGCATTCACTTCGCATGTCGACACGTTCTTGTCAAATGGCACACAGCGCCCAGTCTTCTCTCCTGCGGTGGACCCAAAGTCAAGAGGTGAAGAGGAGGTGGCGATTAGGGCATCCAGACTTGATAGAACACAGAGAGGACAACTTTCTTTTTTGTTTAACCAGGTAAGGCCCACTGAGCTGTATAGCTCTTTTCCGGAAGCGAGCTGACCACAAGTGAGAGCTCAACAAAAGTGGCTTGTCGCCTGGGATTTGTGTATCGCAGCCTAATACTCGACATGCGTGTTTCTAAATGAGAAAAATCCACACGACCATGTCGGACAACGTGCAAACTCCAAATATACAGACGTCAGGGTCGGGATCGAACCCAGGAACCTCCTCCTGTTATACCACGTGAGGTAGTAAACATTTCGTCAGCATCGCGCCCAAAGGAGGTGCAGGAGAAGGAACGAGGAGGTGAAAAGCGAGGGTTTTTTTTAATTATTTTTAAAAAAGGAAATGAGATTTAAAGCTTTCGTGACTGCAGCGATTCATAGTTTTGGTTATTTCGGTAAAGTCACGTAGAAGGGAAACAATAAAATATATATTTTATTTTATTGTTTCCCTTCTAACGTAGATTGTTATTAAACAATAAAATATATATATATTCTATTTTATTGTTTCCCTTCTAACGTGACTTTACCGAAAGAACCAAGAATATGAAGGCAATGAGGTTCAGACAGTGAGGAGGGAAAAAGAGGATGCAAAGTTGTAAGACGGGCGAAGGGGTGAAGAAGAGAAGATAGTGGGCAGGTCAATATTTAAAAACCGACATAGGAGGATTCATCCACAACTCTGGCGTGTAGCCTCATGAAGCCTGTTGTAATTACCGGTGAAACGTTGTACTTCAATTGTTAAAGTTGTGGGGTTTTACTCTCCAACACACCGTGCGTGCGTGCGTGTGCTGAACTCGTAACGAAGCGGCATGTTTTGTTTACGTAACAAACCTTACTCATTGGCTGTGTCGGGTGGTAGCAGGTTTAACGACACATTTATATTTATGCGATTTAACTCCCCCCCCCCACCCCCCCAAAAAAAGACCTCTGATGGATAATATTGATCGCTATAACTGACGTGATAACACCACGAGAACAGGGCTGCAGGGATCCTTAGCTTGGCACCGGAGCCAGTACAACCACGCGTAGGTCCAATGATAGAAATGTATTCTTATGCTAATGAGATGTGCATCAAAGCGTGCGCGAATGATAAGCAAATAATTTTTTTTCCGTTTAGGATTAAATAAGAGAACAAAACGTTTCGATTTAAAGCTTTCGTGAGCGCAGGGATTCATATTCTTGGTTCTTTCGGTAAAGTCACGTGGAAGGGAAATAATAAAATAATACAAACAAAAAAATTACATTCTCACGGCGTTTCGATTGCAACACAAGCAATCATCATCAGGTGTGATGATGGCGATGACGTTAAGAGAAAAAACGCCATTAAAAAAAAAATTCTTGCTGTGGTTTTCACACCTGATGATGAATTGCTTTGCGTTTCACTCGAAACGTCGTGAGAATTTAATTGTTTTATTTTTATTATTTTATTATTTCCCTTCTACGTGACTTTACCGAAAGAACCAAGAATACAAAACGTGTGTAAGAAATAAAATTAAAAAGGATACAAACGAGACGTTTAAGAAAAAACGAGACAAAAAAGAGTACTAAATATTTTAGAGAATGTGCCACTTCTTAATCCTGGCAATGTCTTGAGTCGCCGAGGAGGGCCATTCACAAAAAAATGTCTCGTGGATATGCATCGTGAGCTTGTGAATTTGTAATAAGCAGTGGTGCAGCGATTAGCAGGCTAAGTAAGCTATGGACCCGGCTACCCGAATTCGATTCCCGCTCATGGCCAACACCAGTGACACTTAAATATCTTTAAAAATCCTGGGCCTCCCCTAAGTCGACTGCGCCTCAAATGAGTACCTGGTGCGGTGTGTAAACATCGCCACTGGGGAGACAAAGGCAGCCGGGCGTGGTGCTGGCTACCCAGTCCCTCGTGTGCCGTGCTGGTCTTCGTAGAAGTTTGGTTTAACACCGCAATAGATTCGGTTGGAAGTTTCATATGAAGTTAAAATATTCGCAACCGCACAGCCTACGACTGTTACATGAAGCCCGACCAGTTGTGAACGCTCGCACGAACCTCACTCTTGCTGTGAATGTTGTGCACAAATTCACAATTGTCCATTGGTTTTAGAAGTGTAGCGATGATGATGATGCGGTTGTGAATGTCAGCTGAATATCGAAATTCCAACCAAGTCTACCGCAATATTGCAAACAGCACGCACCTGTTCCAACACGCGTACACGTGGGCCACACGCATTGCACACACGTGCTTTGTGCATGGCTTCGCATACGTTGCGATGAAGTTGTAAGTAGAATGCACACTGGGCAAGGGACCATTGTATGTACCGATGTTGAACTTCTTTCGCACCGTACGTCGCCGACCGTGCTCGTCGGAGGTGCGATGATGCGAACGGTGTGATGGCGACGTGATGTGGTGATTGTGACGTGTTATGCCCTGAAGATGAATGTGATGACGTGATGTGACGATATGGTGATGATGATGGCATGATGATGTGGTATGGATTAGTGGTTTCAGACCCTTACTGGGATATGATCTCCTTAACATAGTACTGTTGACACACACACACACACACGCACGCGCCAAGACAAAGATTAGACGATTCAGCGAGCACCTATGACAGTTGGCACGGCGAAACGAGAGTATGGTGTGAAAAGCGGCAAGCGCGGCCGTCTTTGTCTCCCTAGTTGTGATGTTCACACACCGCAGCAGGCGCACTACCCATTGAAGGCTAAATCACTCAAAGTGATCTAAGCGTGGCTTCTTCCACTCCAGCGCTTATTCCTTTGTCAAGGGGTACCTCTGCGGATGTGTATACTTTAACTTAGCTATTTCAATGAGCCGTTTCAATGCTAAATTATATGCTAATTCCTTTGTCAAGGCACTTGGCCTTTTTCTTCTCACACAGCTTAAAGGTCGTGATCTAAGCGTGGCTTTTTCCACTCCAGCGCTAATTCCTTTGTCAAGGGGTACCTCTGCGGATGTGTATACTTTAACTTAGCTATTTCAATGAGCCATTTCAATGCTAAATTATATGCTAATTCCTTTGTCAAGGCGCGTGGTCTTTTTCTTCTCACACAGCTTAAAGGTCGTGATCTAAGCGTGGCTTCTTCCACTCCAGCGCTGTCCTCCAGACAGTCTCGTCCCTTCACCTGATGAAGGCCGCTTGTGTTGTGACCGAAACGTCGTGATTTTTTGTTATTTTATTTTCACCTACGTGACTTTACCCAATAGAACCAAAGAGTATGGGCCCAATGTTTGTTCAGAGAATGAATCAAACTTCGGGCGTACGGTTTGGTAGCGCCGTGCGCTGGACTACTGCACCACTACTCCGTCACCACCACTCCCAACTCGGCACACACGAAGACAAAGATCCAACATTGCGCCGACATAGCCTGTTGGGTTCAAGTGCTGTTCAGCGAAGCTGCTGGCGCGATGCAACGAGGGGGTTGGTGTGGCCAGAACCACGCCAGGCCGCCTTTGTCTCCCCATGGCGGTGATGTTTGCACAGCGCGCTAGGCACTCATTTAAGGTTGAGTCGACCTAGGGGAGGCACAGGACAGTTTCAAGTATGCCCCCCGCTGTTATTGGCCGCCAGCAGAAATCGAACTCGGGTCGGCGGGTTCGCAGTGCTGCGCGCTGACCATCACAGCGCCTGCCCCACGGCTATAGCGAACACATCAACACAGCAAGACAACTTGATTTGGGGCTTTCGTGACTGCCGGAATTACTCTTTGTTTTTTTTCGGTAAAGTCAAGTAGAAATAATAAATAATAATAAAAAAATACGTAATATTATGTAATTTTTTAAAATAAAAAATGCATACTATTATGTATTTTTTTTATTTCTAAGAAATAATAATTTTTAAAAATTACATAATATTACGTATATTTTTTATTATTATTTCTTATTTCTACGTGACTTTACCGAAAAACAAACAAACAGCAAGACAACTCCCACCTCCGTGCCGGTGTTAGACCGCCAACTTTGAGGTGTGCTGTGAGCAGTGTCATGGGGGGGGGGGGGGGAGAGGTTCTGAGGCCGACGATAATCGGCTTGTTACTCTCATTGCGCACCTCCTAAACCACTGCACCACCGCTCCCCCCACACGCATTCATATCCTGCAACACACGGCCTCTCGCACCGCTATAGAGGTGATCGTTGTGCCTGGGAAGGCAGCTCGTGTCGTTTGTGCACTTCGCGAATTTGTTATCTCCGTCCTGTGAAAACAAACACACACACACGGATTTGGAGACATTAGGGGCCGTCCATGAATGACGTCATGCACCAAATGTGTTTTGAAATAAATTTGGGAGTTTTTTTTTCACGATTACGGGTTTAATCTTTGAACGCTCATTAATTGCGTTTCGTCTCAATGCAGTCAATATTCCTTTTTTTTCATTTTGAAACGTCATTTGAAAAGGAATAAGAAAAAATTAGATCAGTCATTTACAATAGACACACAATATTAACTTTAAGAATAATAAATTACAATGTCTTAATGCCAGTGTTACAATAAATATAACCCTCTGTGTCCTGACTTTTGGGCCACCCTGTAGAGAGGTGGAATGGCAGACAACCAGGGGAGGGACCACAACCTAGGATGAGCACCGTGGAGATGACATTGTAGCAGACACTCTCTCCCCACCAACATGTAAGCGTCCCAGTCCATGTATCACACGTCCGTCACGCCTCCAATGTCCTCTCTTATTCCCACGGTCCCCTCTCGCATTCCTTCCCCATCCCCTCATCCCTGTCACCTCATCTCCAGCCACCAATCACGTCATCGTCACGTGTCGGACCCTGTCACCTCATCTCCAGCCACCAATCACGTGATCGTCACGTGTCGGACCCTGTCACCTCATCTCCAGCCACCAATCACGTGAGCGTCACGTGACGGACCCTGTGACCTCATCTCCAGCCGCTAATCACGTCATCGTCACGTGTCGGACCCTGTCACCTCATCTCCAGCCACCAATCACACATCGTCACATCTTGGACCCTGTCACCTCATCTCCAGCCACCAATCACGTGATCGTCACGTGACGGACCCTGTCACGTCATCTACAGTCACCAATCACGTCATCGTCACGCGTCGGACCCTGTCACCTCATCTCCAGCCACCAATCACGTCATCGTCACGTGTCGGGGTTACTCCAGGTCAAGTAGGGGCAGGGATTGTAGGTGGTGGGGAATGTTGATGTTGTGGAGACCGTCATGGAGGACACCATTATAGGAGGATGACCATCTGCAGGTGTTGTAGGCTGCTATGGGGGCCTTGTTGTATGTATGTTGATCTTATTTCGCAGCGTACGTAGCCAACCGTGCTACTTGGAGGTGCGGAGGAAGGACAACAAACTACGCAAAACTAGTTATCAAGAAATTAGTTTTCAATCTATGTTTAACAGTGCATAGCTCCGGTGCCTTCCGACTATCGGAAGGAAGAGCATTCCAGATGTCCGCGGAAGGGCATCTCAAAGCGCGCGACGCAGTGACCGTGACCGTCTTTGTTCGATGGCTCGCCAAAAGCCGCTGCGAGGATCACCAGAGTTTGCGTGATGACAGCAGAGGGCAATGCAACAAAATATCTATCTGATCGTTGTACTGTATCTTTATGCTGCACAGTCTATGCATTCACCGACATGCACTGGCGTGGTGTAGTATGATCCCCCCCGCCCCGGCTACGACCTGCATGCACGACCGTGGGGAGGCCCTCATATGGCAGTGAATTGACGGAAAGGTTTTGCATGTTTTTGTACATGTGTTGTGGTGCAAGAGACGACGCTGACGCAGTTCTTCAATAAGGGCGGATGCCAGGTTTATTAGGGGCTTACGCCTAGGAACTGAAATAGGGCTTACGCCCAACAGTGGATAGCCAGTATGATTATCCCCAGGGGGGAAGGGTGCTGGGAGGTCACTAGCGCCCACCCAGGCTATTCGGGCTCTTCCCTCAGCACCGACCGAGGGATCAGCCAACTTGGTCGGCCGGGTGAAGTAGCCACCCTAGCCTGGTGCTAATTCCCCCCTTACCCTGGGTCCTCACTCTCTACCTCTCTCGTTCCCGGCCCCTGACGACGACCCCGCTCACGTCACGGGCCCCTGCTTATATATATATCACAGGGAAACATGACCTCATCCATTATCTCCCCCAGGGTGACATCACATCATCAATTATTCCTCGACACATGTACGCGACGTGTAAACTACATGTATACTCAAATTTCGATTTAAAGCTTTCGTGACTGCAAGGATTCATCTTCTTGGTTCTTTCGGTAAAGTCACGTAGAATGAGAATAAAACAATAAAACAAAACAAGACAATAAAATTCTCACGACGTTTCGGCCACAACACAAGTAGCCTTCTTCAGGTGAAGGAACAGAACTGTCGGGACGACAGCGCTTCAATGAACGCTGCTCAGATTCGCAGCTAGCTTAAGCTAGCTTAAAAGACGCTGCGAATCTTAGCAGCGTTCATTGAAGCGCTGTCGTCCCGACAGTTCTGTTCCTTTACCTGAAGAAGGCTACTTGTGTTGTGGCCGAAACGTCGTGAGAATTGTATTGTCTTGCTTTGTTTTATTGTTTTATTCTCATTCTACGTGACTTTACCGAAAGAACCAAGAAGATACATGTATACTCGCCGACACGGAACGGCTGCAGAGGGGAGGGGAGGGACTTCAGGGACAAACGCAAGTGGGAATTAAGGTTATGGAAACTGAAATAAATGGAGGAAGCCGTGATGAGACAGAAGCAGCAAGAAGGGAAGCCAAGAGACACGCAGAGTGAGAGGGTTGCTGAGGTTAATGTAATCTATATCCATTATCCCAACAGTGCTTCCGCAAAAGCACGTGTCGATGTGGACATTCGTCAATAACGCACACTTAGATGGATTCCCAGCAAGCACACTCACCACACAAATACAAATCTCCCCTGTGGAGCCTTTAACAGACTTTGGGGCAAATGCTCTTAGCGAGCACCAATTAACGCTGGGACCGCACACGAGGGGGTGGGAGGCCAGCACCACGCCAAGTTGCCTTTGCCTCCGCAATGCTGATGGTTACACACCGCACCAGGTACTCATTTATGACTAAGTCGACCTAAGGAAGGCCTAGGACCACTTCAGATTATTTACTGATGTTGGCCAGGAGTGGGAATTGAATTCGATTCGCTGGGCTCTTAGTGCAGTGCGCTAACCACTGCACGACTGCTCACCACCACATTCACATCCCAACATAAACACAAACCGCACGCGTGTACAAAACTACAGGAAAACCGCTCATTAAATACTACGAAGACAGCTAAAGTATAGCCTTAACTCACTTTTTGGGGCAAGTGTATTCGCGGGCACATTATGAAGGCCTCCACAGCACATGAGGGGGGTGAGTGGTCATCAGCACCACGACCGGCCGCATTTGTCTCCATAATGGTGATGTTTACACCACACCAGGTGCTCATATGATACTGATTCGACCTGGCGGAGGCCCAGAACTGGCTCAGAAAATGGTCACCGGTGTTGGTCGTGAGCGGGAATAGAACTTGAGTTCCCAGGTTCACAGCCCAGCGCACTAACCGCTTATGCCACCGCTCCCACACAAAAAGCACCCCCACACACGCAAAAGTGTTGCCCATAATTCAGCAGGACACATCGGATTATTTCATTTATGTTAACACTGGCATTCAATGTTTTGACTGTTTGTTATTTAAGTTAATATTTCATCTATTATCATTGTTATTTAATTTTCCGTCACCTCAAATCCATCATTTACAAAACTCGACCAAGAACCCTTGAATGAATTGAGACAAACATAATTGATGAATGTTCAGAGATTACACCTGTAATAAATAAATAAAAAACGCCCTAAATTAATATCAAAAGCGAATTCATGCATTCATGTTAATGGCAGTCAGTTTGAACATGTGTTAAAATACATTATATAATCCATAATAGAGGTTTTTTGGGGGGGTTAGATCACGTAAATATAAATGTGTCGTTAAACCCGCCACCGACCGACACAGCCAATTAGTAATGTTTGTCACGTAAAAAAAAATCGTGCTAATTCGTTACTGGTACAGCACACCGGTGTGCTGGAGAGTAAACCCACAACATTGACAATTCGAGCACGACGTTCGCCAGTAATTCCAACTGGCATCAAACATAATACACCCAGGTGTCCTGACTTTTGGACCACCCTGTATATGAACGTCACTCACATACACAAACAGACAGACATGACCACGCAGACATTGAAGACCACGTTTGAAAACTACAAGAACACAAATGCATCACGACCCACGTGAACACACACAATACACACCAACTACACAAGAAACCCAACACAATAATATCATCCATAATATAAAATTTGTTTGGCGGTTAGGTCGCGTAAATATATAAATGTGTCGTTAAAACCCGCCACCACCCGACACAGCCAACTGGTAAGGTTTGTCACGTAAACAGAACGTGGCCAATTCGTCACTAGTACAGCACGCTGGTGGAGTGTAGTGTATAGTGTAGTGTATAGTAGTGTAGTAGTGTAGTGTATTGTGTAGTGTATAGTAGTGTAGTGTATAGGGTAGTGTGTGGTAGTGTAGTGTATTGTGTATAGTAGTGTAGTGTATGGTGTAGTGTATAGTGTAGTGTGTAGTAGTGTAGTGTAGTAGTGTAGTGTATAGTGTAGTATACTAGTACAGCACACCGGTGTGTTGGAGAGCCAAGCCACAACATTTACAATCTGAGTTTGACGTTTCGCCGGTAATGACAACTAGCTTCATCAGGCGACAGCCACATTTGTGGAGAAGTCCACCTGTTTTGTTCCTTACATAGAGGCGTAGATGTGGTGACCACGCTTCTGCGCGCTTGCACAAAGTGGGGGAGGGGATTAATGAGTAAACGTACATTATTTATACATTATTATACATGTACATTATGCGAGCCCTTTGATCGTCTCATTCCTGTACATTGTGTGTATTAAATAGCCGTACGAACGGTAATCCCTATTGAAGTACGCTGCCCTGTGTAGGCATGCATTTAAATAATGCATTATTTGATGATTCGCTTCCACGCAGCACTAAGGCGGTAGCTATCCCAACACTTACATTTTTTTCTTTCAATTTCGATAGATTTTCTAATTAGTCTTGGCCAGCAGTAGCTAGTTTTGCACAGAACTTCAACATTATCAAAATCAATTGAGTGTCCTTGTTGGCACGTGTGTTCTGCTACTGCT